AAGTATGTTCTCCTACCCGGAGGAGTGATGGCTGCAATGACCCTCTCGGCTTCTGCCTTTAGGCTAGGCGTGGGATATTGGCTCTTTTTCATTGACAGGCTTATTATAGAAAGTTAGGGGGAGAGGAGTCCATGCCCTTAGCAAGAAGCCGTTATTTGAGCTGATGGTGGATCAACACCCTGGCTGTGTGGAACAGCCAGGAGTTGTTTGCAAAGAGCTCGTTGTCTTGTTCTAGGCGTCTGACTATTTCTTGTCTTAGGCTTAAGTTCCTGGGAGCCTGGATAACCTTTGACAGGAATTGTGCTGCCTATAGATCGATTCGTGAGTCCAGGGAGAGAAGGTTTGCCTCCAAGATGAGGTTGAGGACCTTCGGCCACCTTGGGGCACCCAGAATGATCTTGGCAGCAGAGAGAAAGAGAATAATACATGTGGCATGGCATCTGGTTAGTTCTATCCATCCTTATTTTTGTAATGCAGTTACATTTGAAGTATGCGTGATTTATTTATTCGCGTACTTCATCATCGTGAGGATTTTGGAATGCCAACGAAGGCTGCGGCCTCAAAAGATTGAAAACCACTGCATTTGAACGTAACCTTACTGCTCCCTCAGGGCCGGCAGCAGCCATGCAGTGACGTCATGGACGCTCTCCACAGGCTCCAACGCCCTGTGGGTCGGAGGGCCTCTCAACGACACCACGGGGGACGACAGGGGTAAAACAACTTTCAGCAAATCTGTAAATTCAGTATCATCATATCATATTATACGTATTCAAACACAAATATACAGACACACACTCTGTGTGTGTCTGTACATGCATATACTGTAACAGAATGCTAGATAGAATGTATCAGATAAGAGAGAGAGAGAGAGAGAGAGAGAGAGAGAGAGAGAGAGAGAGAGAGAGAGAGAGAGAGAGAGAGAGAGAGAGAGAGAGAGAGAGAGAGAGAGAGAGAGAGAGAGAGAGAGAGAGAGAGAGAGAGAGAGAGAGAGAGAGAGAGAGAGAGAGAGAGAGAGAGAGAGAGAGAGAGAGAGAGAGAGAGAGAGAGAGAGAGAGAGAGAGAGAGAGAGAGAGAGAGAGAGAGAGAGAGAGAGAGAGAGAGAGAGAGAGAGAGAGAGAGAGAGAGAGAGAGAGAGAGAGAGAGAGAGAGAGAGAGAGAGAGAGAGAGAGAGAGAGAGAGAGAGAGAGAGAGAGAGAGAGAGAGAGAGAGAGAGAGAGAGAGAGAGAGAGAGAGAGAGAGAGAGAGAGAGAGAGAGAGAGAGAGAGAGAGAGAGAGAGAGAGAGAGAGAGAGAGAGAGAGAGAGAGAGAGAGAGAGAGAGAGAGAGAGAGAGAGAGAGAGAGAGAGAGAGAGAGAGAGAGAGAGAGAGAGAGAGAGAGAGAGAGAGAGAGAGAGAGAGAGAGAGAGAGAGAGAGAGAGAGAGAGAGAGAGAGAGAGAGAGAGAGAGAGAGAGAGAGAGAGAGAGAGAGAGAGAGAGAGAGAGAGAGAGAGAGAGAGAGAGAGAGAGAGAGAGAGAGAGAGAGAGAGAGAGAGAGAGAGAGAGAGAGAGAGAGAGAGAGAGAGAGAGAGAGAGAGAGAGAGAGAGAGAGAGAGAGAGAGAGAGAGAGAGAGAGAGAGAGAGAGAGAGAGAGAGAGAGAGAGAGAGAGAGAGAGAGAGAGAGAGAGAGAGAGAGAGAGAGAGAGAGAGAGAGAGAGAGAGAGAGAGAGAGAGAGAGAGAGAGAGAGAGAGAGAGAGAGAGAGAGAGAGAGAGAGAGAGAGAGAGAGAGAGAGAGAGAGAGAGAGAGAGAGAGAGAGAGAGAGAGAGAGAGAGAGAGAGAGAGAGAGAGAGAGAGAGAGAGAGAGAGAGAGAGAGAGAGAGAGAGAGAGAGAGAGAGAGAGAGAGAGAGAGAGAGAGAGAGAGAGAGAGAGAGAGAGAGAGAGAGAGAGAGAGAGAGAGAGAGAGAGAGAGAGAGAGAGAGAGAGAGAGAGAGAGAGAGAGAGAGAGAGAGAGAGAGAGAGAGAGAGAGAGAGAGAGAGAGAGAGAGAGAGAGAGAGAGAGAGAGAGAGAGAGAGAGAGAGAGAGAGAGAGAGAGAGAGAGAGAGAGAGAGAGAGAGAGAGAGAGAGAGAGAGAGAGAGAGAGAGAGAGAGAGAGAGAGAGAGAGAGAGAGAGAGAGAGAGAGAGAGAGAGAGAGAGAGAGAGAGAGAGAGAGAGAGAGAGAGAGAGAGAGAGAGAGAGAGAGAGAGAGAGAGAGAGAGAGAGAGAGAGAGAGAGAGAGAGAGAGAGAGAGAGAGAGAGAGAGAGAGAGAGAGAGAGAGAGAGAGAGAGAGAGAGAGAGAGAGAGAGAGAGAGAGAGAGAGAGAGAGAGAGAGAGAGAGATGCGTGTATGTAAATAACTTGAAATGCATTTCAACAATAATGATAATACTAAGACATGCATACCATGAACTGCGCTCGTCCGAACAGGTGGTTATGCCTTCCACGAGACCTCAAGCGGGCCGGGCCTGCATGCCGAAGTGGCAGTCATGGAGTCGAACACACAGCAGGCCACGGGCGCTGCGGGTGAGTCAGTTAGCAAGTTGCTTATTCCTTCTTGTTAGTTTGATACTCAAGATGCTTGGCATTTTGTATAATGCATATGCTATTTTGATGATGCTGGAGTTGTCATTTATTGCCATGGTCATCACAATCATTATTTTTATACTTTTGTCGTCATGAACATAAAAATACTTATTATTATCCTAATTGATTCCAGGAAAATGCCTCAAGTTCTGGTACACCTTAGACGGCCTCAGCGCCAGCGAACTGCGCGTGCGTGTGAAGGGCGTTGACTCGGAGGAAATGGTCACTATATGGGAGACGCGCGACCAGACGCGAGGGGATTGGAAGGAGGCGCAAGCGCTCTACACATTCACGACAAATCATTCGGTAGTTTTTTTTCCTGTTTGTTATAGCGGCTAAGAGCAATACATAATACTTTTTCTCCCTGGTCGTTTCTCTATTCTTTAGTCTCTCTCTCTCTCTCTCTCTCTCTCTCTCTCTCTCTCTCTCTCTCTCTCTCTCTCTCTCTCTCTCAATTTACATTTATGCTCGGGCTCGAACTCTAATTCTCTAGCGATCTACATCTATATGCCTTTATCCTTCCAGTAACTCTTTCCATTAATCTTCAACAACCAAGACCAAAACTCGTCTCCTGCTTTGGATTCCACAACCAAAACAACTACACCTACTTATGTCCTCAAACTTATCATTATTGTCCCTTCCAACTGCTAACAGCTCGTGGTGGAAGCCATCCCTGCGTCTAACGCTGACCCCTTCAACATATTCCGAGGTCACGTAGCTGTAGATGACCTCGGCGTGAGGCCGGGACAGGAGTGCATCGGCCTGTGTTCCTTTGAGGGTGGCATGTGCGACTGGAACAACGCGCAGAATGACGACTTCGACTGGAAACTTGTAAGCAACGCATTCTGGCCCACGTACCCGATTGAGAGAAAGAGAGAGAGAGAGAGAGAGAGAGAGAGAGAGAGAGAGAGTGAGTGTGAGTGTGAGTGTGAGTGTGAGTGTGAGTGTGAGTGTGAGTGTGAGTGTGAGTGTGTGTGAGTGTGAGTGTGAGTGTGAGTGTGAGTGTGAGTGTGTGTGAGTGTGAGTGTGAGTGTGTGTGTGTGTAAATACATATATGAGCGACAACTCCCGTTTACCGAGTCTACCCCCGCTCCCGCTCATCGCCCTCCTCACCCCCAGGGCCGCGGCACTCAGAATCCTATCACGGGCCCTCCCAGAGACCACAGCAGTTCCCAAGGCACTTCTCTCGGAGGCGCTTACGTCTACATAGACTCTGGCTTTCCTCGACGCCCGTTGGATATCGCCAGGCTTGAGAGCATTGAATTCCAGGAGACGGGTATTTACTGGCCACTATAGTCTGTTCACTTAGCTGTGATAGCTAGAGCCTAGAAATTTTTGAAACAAGGCTGCTCATTGGTCAGTGGTCTGAGCCTCGTCGTAAATTTACAGTTCTTATTTTTATATATATATATACATACGAATATTCTTCAACCTATATGTGTACAGTATACATGACCTCCGTAACTAAGTAAATGTTCGCAATCAACAAGATTACTAAAATCACTAAATGCAATGGTACTAATTGCACAAGCTCGTTTTTGTCCTAAAGATTGTCTTTATTCTGTACAGAATTAGAATTTATCTTTTTCGTATCTTTAAAAATAATTTGTGTTCGGCTTCGTTTCACATACTGCAGAGTAAATAAATGGCGCACGCGGATTCCTCTGCTCACATCTGGCACAAACGTTCGCTTGCTTGTTCGGTTTGTAAGTTTATTATATTCAGATCTATTCGGTTTCCATTGGTCACTATATTTCAGAGTGTACAATATTAAGTAAAAATTCTTCCTAAAGTGTTATAACACCTCATATATCGCTTCAGAAAAATATTAAATAATTATGTAATGACAACACAACTAAAGGCAGGAAACAGCAGTACGCGCCAACGTCCGATGCAGACACTAAACAGAAAGGAAAATAACGACACGGCTAAATCAAAAATAACCACAAAGACTAGTGGTAATAACGATAGTTGTAATATTATTAGTAGTACCAGCAACAGTAATCACAGCATAAATTGAAGTATGCACGTCCAGAAGTGTTCTCAGACCAATTACCTATAAATACGTTCATTATAAGTTTTGCCAATTTTAACTTTCATCTTTATCATAAATTCGTTATGTTCACGTTAATGTATCACGAGGTAGAGTGCATTAATATGAGCATATTGACGCTTAAGCTATTGATGGTTTAACTATTTTCGGCCTGTTGATCTGAGATCACTTTTAGACGCACATACCCTCAAATGATAATCATGATAAGACAATGTTAATGATAATTATAGTAATAATAATGAGGGTAATAATGATGATGATGATGATGATGATGATGATGATGATGATAATGATGATAACGGTATTCATATTAATGATGATAACAACAACAGCAACAATAGCAGTAAAAGTCATAATGATGATGACCATCAATATTATGATCATGACGAACATAATGATTACAATATTACTATTACTATGATCATCATCATCATCGGGGGGTTAACGCCGACGAGGGCGTTATCCACTCTTCACTTCCAGCCACGGGGGGTCCCTCAGGGCGAACCTCCAAGGAGGCCCTCGGCCCATCTCTAAGCTCCTTGTGGCTGGTCGAGCTGCCCAAGCTGTGACCTAGGTTGTCCCTCGGGCCTCCCCCACCCATGCCGGTTTGGACACATGGTCCTGTCATCTGTACCCCATGATCCGGCATGTGACATGTTACAAAATACATTAAGACGAGACTCCAAGGCACTTGGTAGCGTCCAGGTTTCGTTTCCATAGACCAAAAAAGGCATGATCAAGGCCTTGAATACATGTAGCTTGGTCCTTCTGCATTAGATACCGACATCTCTAAATGTTCTTATTGATCAAATTCATGGTTGTCAAACCAGTCCGTCTACTGCCTTTTTGGTCTGACAGCCCAGAGACAAGGCAAGGTATGTAAAGCTATCTCTGACTTCAACGTGCTCACCGTATGTATCGACTGAACAGGTTCCTAAAACAGGCCCCCAAAATCCTGAATCTTGGTCTTGGTTCAGGAAACCTCTAAGTCCAAGGACTTCGCCTCATTGCTAAATACATCAAGAGCCGCCACCAGTGATTCCAAAGGCTTAGTTAAGATAGCAACATCGTCGGTAGAGTTGGAGTCGGTGACCTTGATATTTTCCAGTGTTGCTCCACATTGACTTTGAACAGTAGCTCCGCCCATTATCCAGTCCATGCAAGTGTTGAAAAGTGTTAGTTCAAGAGCACAGCCTTGTCTCACTCCTTAGTTAACAGTGAAGAAATTTGACTGGCCCCGACATTGCAGCACTCTGAGTACCAGTATATAGGCTTGCCATCAAACCTATAATCCGTTTCGGAATTCCCCCAAGACTCAGGATCTCTCATGCACCTAGTCAAACGTCCTATTGAGGTCGATGTAGGATGCAAGTAGCCCACGACGGTGTTCCACAGTGACTTGATATGGATATTGGTAACGTTTATTTAGCCAATATTCATAAAGGCAGTTTGACATACACAAAATACAAATAGAATGGCTGAGCCTCCTGAGAACACAAGCTCTCTTAAAAAGGCACCTTATCATAAGGGAATTAATGTCCATTTAAATTTGTAGACTAGAGACGATGGCTTGGAGACGATGACAGTAATAAAGATAAAAAGAGACATACATACATACATAAATACATACATACACACATACATATATGCTTACATTAACCTCGCATACATTTGCATATACACATACACATATATTTATAGATATAATCTATAGACACATTTGCACACTTATACAAGCATTCATACCGACGCATAAGTACACGCTAATATCTACCTGTATATATACTTATACAAATTACTTCTTACATTTTTCCTAAACATCAGAATTCACTCTGGCATATGTAATAGATGGGTCTTCAACGATTTTTTGAGTGACAGTAGTGATGGAGCATTGTAGAGATGTAAGGGCAGATTATTCCATACACTTACCCCATAATATAAAACACATGTCTTTGATTGGTTTGAGCCTACAGTTGGGTGCTTTAATAATGAGTTTCATCGTTAAGGATATTACATCATTCTGTTATTTTACTTATTTTAGTAGACAATGATACATTAAAAAATAGAAATAGTTTCAGTGTAGAAAATGCACTATTAGTATGGCTACGTTTGCTTAATCCAGTAATTGTTCGGATTACTCGTTTTTGGTCAATTATAACGGGCTTTAGCGTGGTTTCATTGACAGCTCCCCAGGCAGTGTGCAGTATGTTAGATGTGGATAAATTAATGAAAATAGATGCATTTATGGGCATTCATAGTGAGAAAATCCCGTATATGGTACAAGATACTACACTGTTTATTCATATTTGACGAATATTGTGCGTGGGACTTTTCCACGACAATTTATCTTCAATCATTCCTCCAGGAGATATAGTTTCGGTTTACCTTGACAAGGTTTATATTCTAACATTACCGGCAAAAGTGTAGGGGAAAGTTTCTTATTACGATTAAATATAACATAATGGGATTTAACAATATTTAACGTCAGATTGTTTGAAGAAATTCAATTACTGATAGTGTTAAGTTCTATATTGATGTTACTAGTGAGTTGATTAATATCGTTACCTGAAGCATAGAGGTTACTGTCATCAGCATATAAGAAGAATTTCAGACACGAGTCTAAAATCATTGATGTAGATCAGAAAAAGAAGAAGCACTAACAGTGACCCTTAGATAATGAAAGGTAATCTGAATTGGATCCATTATAGACATACAGCACTAGTGAATTCGTTATTATCAGAGGCCTTGTAGATATGGTTTGTAAAAGACATAACAGCCATTTATGTTGGTTTTATTCCTTGTGAATCCAAATTGGCAATGTGACAGAATACTGTTGCGCATGAGACAATTTCCGAATCCCCTATAATTTTTTTTCCAGAAAATTACTTATTACGGGAAGAATTGATACTGGTCTGTAGTTATGTATATTAGTTTTGCAACCTGATTTGTGAACTGGAGTAACCTTTGATGTATTGAGTTTATATGGGTATATAGCCGTAGTAACTGAAGTGTTGCACAAGTAGAGCAGGGGACGGGAAATGACAGGCGAAGTGGATTTAATTATTGGTGCTGTGATGTCATCATAACCAGGTGCAGAGTTTTTTAGTTGATTCACTACCTCCATGAAATTCTTGAAATTCATGCCCCATGAAATTCATGAAACTATTGAATGGGTGAGTGACATTGTTAATTTAGTTATGTACAACATTAACGAAGTAATTGTTGATATAGTGAGAATCTCGAGACTGACCTTCCTCTACTTCTATTGTTTGATTCTGAGATGTATTCTGGTCAGAATTGAATTGATGGCCTTTCATGTGTCCGAATCCCTTTTGTGAGATGATTACGCGCTCGCCTGAACTGATCTTCTTATGTAATCGCCCAATTTGCATATAGGCGCTGGAGCCTGTTCTTCTCAGTTAAAAGAGCCTTTATTGCTGGATTATGGAGGGTTTGTCATGTGATCTGGTTTGATTAATTTAGATTTTACAGGAAAATACTTATCATACTCGGCAGAAAGAATAGTGATAGGTTATCGTAAACAATATTAGGGTCACTGGAACAGAAGACTAAATCCCAGCATACTTCAACGCTGACACCGCTTGTTACACGGTTAGATGGTTGGTTGGTCCAAATGTGATCTATCAGAGTGGCTGACGTAGGACTCACTCGTGTAGGTTTGGTGTCAGACGTAAAAAAATAATTGAATTGGATAGGGCTATGAAGTCTTGAACATTAGCACCTGATACATTCTTGAGTAAGTCTACATTAAAATCACCTGTAATAATACAGTTTTCTTCACTAATTACTTTAATTATGTCTTTCATTTTATCAAGGAAATGTTTAGAATGTTTAAAAATACGCCGGCCACCAGATTTACTTCTTGATTTTTAATTTCTATTAAAAAGTTTCCAAGTAATGTTCTATAATAATTATATTGTGAATCATGGCAGTTCCTCACATACAAGGCCACATCGCCACTTTGGCGGGATAAATTGTTAGTGTAGCCATTGTAATTAGGCACATTAAAGAGATTAAAGAGATGTTGTATTGTGGACTTGCTAGGAGTGAATCCAGACTGCTCCGGTCTCTGGTGTCATAGTGGTCACGGATCCATTCCAAAGAATGTTGGCGAAAACCATCATCATTAACGATATCATCATTACCATTATCAACAATATAATTGTTGCTCGAGTCATCTTAAGCCTTTACTGTCAGGTCGCCAGCCTCTTGCCTCTGGTAACTAAAGTGACTCCCACTCCACCAGTGGCTCTGACTGGCTCGCATCCATTAAGCACAGTCTCAAGCTTTGTGTTCACCCAGATACAGACTATTTCTATAAATTGCTCGTAACACACTAGTTCTAGATATTACTACAAACCATTTCTATTCAGGTATATCAATTATCCATTCTTGATTCTAGAGAAAACTGCCTTTACTGTTTGAGTTATGATCTAGTTAATAGTTAGCTAGCATATAAAGATATTTGCCCAAAAAGATAAGTGAAATATATTCATTAGTGAATTATTTTTCCATAATGCAAAAAAAGTTATCAATATTTTCATTTCCCGTACAGAGTGAATGATGATTTTCTCACTGTGATACTGACATACAAATCGATTCTAACAAAAAAACTAATGCAAAATAACTGGTATATTGGACTCAAATTGGTTACACACCCCACACACCCAAGGCTAAACGATTCACCCTCATCAACAGACCCCAACAACCCACCGTGCATGCGGTTCTTCACCTTCATGTCAGGAAGGGGCGTAGGAACTCTCCGCGTGATCCTTCAAGACGTCGTCACGAGGAATGAACGCGTCCTTTGGGCGCTCGCCGGAAGCCAAGGTTCGCAGTGGGTCATGGCGCAGCTGCCGCTCTCCTCTAACACGCCATTCAAGGTAGGGCATGATTTTAAGTCTTTCTCGGCTCTGGACGTGCACAAGTATGTATATACACTATGTATTTGTGTGTGTGTGTGTGTACACATATACATACACACCCATACCGTTCCTGCCACGAGGTGTCTCTGTTTTTTTGTCAGGTTATCTTCGAGGGTTCCATCGGCAAGCCCCGCCTCGGAGACGTTGCCATCGACGACATCACCATCATTTCCGGACCATGTGCAAGTGAGTCTCTGTATGTTTTTGTGCCTTCAAATTAAGAAATATGTGTGATTTTACAGAGGACGAAAGAAAGAGATAGAGTTAAATACGGAAATGAGTGGAGCGTGTAGATAGAACTGGAGAAAGAGAAGAGAGAAGTAAATATAACCCTGTCCCTAACCCCCGTTCATCCCCACCTCCAGCCCTCCCTACCATCGCGTCCCCCCCGAGCTCCGGCGA